CATTCGCGCGATTTATAACGGTCTGGGGGGATCGGCCCACCCGCCGTTACATTGCGTACAGCAAGGGTAGCGCCGTTCCGATGTTTTTCTTGCTTAATGTTTTTATGGCAGTCCGGTGAACGGTGACTCTAAGGCGGAAAATAACGTATCTCCGCTGCGGTGCTCGATCTTGCAGATGGAGTATGTGCCCATGCTATCTGCTTAGTATGGAAGCTGTCCGTAAAAGTCAGGAGAAACTGCGCGGTACTTAATAACTTTTATGTAAATAACTGTGTGTAATAGCTGTAATTCTGTTTTTGAGAATACAAAATCGATATTCTACTGATTAATAGATTGTTCAGGATTCGAGCATTACTGCAAACAACTTGAATAAATGGTGTAACAAAGTATTTTTTGGCTGTAATAGTAAGGACTAATAATTTTATTTAGAAAATATTTTATATTTTGTGTCATATAAAATGCAACTTTCTATGCATAACAGACACATAATTAATTGCTATATTACTTATATTCTTCCAGATCAATAACCAATGCACCTGTTATTTTATAGTGATTTTTTCCTGTTTTAAAAGTGCAGTTCGTCTAATATGCTAAGCTCTGGCATACAGGAATGGTCTTTTTCATGTAGTTTAATTTCTCACCATTTCATTTGTTTCAAGATCAACTCTTGTCTAAATTTAAACTATTATCCTAAGGATCTATAAGAGAAGCACTTTTAAAAGATGCTTGCCACATAGGTATTCTTAATAACTTACTACATTTATAGCTGAATGCGTGACATAAACCAGAACAAAACCAGAGGTGAATGAAAATTCTGTCTTAGCTAGTCCAAGCTTTTGTGTCCTAGGTCTGATCAGAAGTAAACTGAGTTCTATGTGTAAACTTGTGTCAATTTTGCAGAGGAATTAAAGAAACTGTGGATGTGTTAGATCTTCATTTCGATCCTGTTCCAACGGCGTAGCGTTTTACCTACGTATAAATGACTTGCTCTATGCCTGTGTAACGTTTCAGTTAATACTGCCTCGGCTGTCTAAAGGTCTGATGAGATTCTTGTTAGCACTTGAATTGCTTTTTCATACGTTATTGCCCCTGCATTTGGGATTTGGATGTTACATGATCATGGTGGAAAGTAATTACAGAAGGCAATAATCTTTGGTGTATCCATTAAAATGGTAGTTTCTTCACATTTGTGTGCAACATTTGGGAACTGATTTTGCCTTTCGCTAGAATTTTTTGTCAGCGACTGAGGAGAGCAGTGGCTCAGAGGTGTATGAAAGGCATGAAATGATCTGGGTATTGATAGACGGTTATCTACAAGGTTACTGCTGAAACAAACATATCGTTGCTGTGTCTGATGGGATGTGACAGGGTTTTATGTTACAGTTGGTAACATTCTGCTTTAAATTCTAAATTTAACCTAGTCTGTAAAGTGCGTTTTAGAAGCTTCTGATCACATGCCATTTCACTAATATTAATCATACCTCTTTGTCCTTTTAAGACAAATGAAGAAAATACTTCCCATGAAGAGTAAAAGTACTTGATTCTGGGAAAATTCTGAAAGCACTTCTGACTTCAAAGCTGGAGAAAAGTATGAAGAAACAATCCGTCTGACTCCTTCAGCATCTCACACAGAACACAAAATGGCTCTTCAGAAAAAAACTGTTGCTGGTGTCTTGGAGGAGTGGTGTTTGGAGGAACCACTGTTTTGTTGCAGACAGCACCAGAATGTTAGGAAAAAACTGAGACTGATACGAATTATAGGGCTTCTTGTCAGTGTAGTGGCCATTAGTACTTTCTCTCTTTCAACTAGTGCCTTTTTCAAGATGGAACCACGTAGCATGGTGTTGACCAGCAGCCTGGATAGCCAAAAGCTGGTACACGGGCACCAAAGAACTCTGTTGGATTTCACAGAACAGAATGAAAATGGCACTCCAGACCCACATGCTTCTATGAAATACGAAGCTGAGCACGACAATGCAACAGATGATCATGCCAAGGGAGAGTACCCTGAGGACCTTTTCTCTCTTGAGGAGAGAAGAAAGGGAGCAGTGATCCTCCATGTAATTGGAATGATTTACATGTTTATAGCCTTAGCCATAGTCTGTGATGAGTTCTTTGTTCCTTCCTTGACTGTCATCACTGAAAAACTGGCCATATCTGATGATGTGGCAGGAGCAACCTTCATGGCTGCTGGTGGCTCAGCCCCAGAACTCTTCACTTCTTTAATAGGAGTGTTTATATCCCACAGCAACGTTGGCATTGGTACAATAGTGGGATCTGCTGTATTCAATATCCTGTTTGTTATTGGAATGTGTGCTTTATTTTCTAAAGAGATCTTGAACCTTACTTGGTGGCCACTCTTTCGAGATGTGTCCTTTTACATCATTGACTTGATCTTGCTAATCATCTTTTTTCTGGATAACTTGATCATGTGGTGGGAAAGCTTAACACTCCTGACAGCATATTTTTGCTATGTGACTTTCATGAAGTTCAATGTTCAAGTAGAAGAATGGGTGAAGAAATTTTTAAACAGGAACAAGGTTGAGAAGGTAACAGCAGCAGATGCTGAAGGAAAGGTTGGTCAATTTTTAATTAGCGAAGATGTAATAATGTCCTTGTAAGTGCTGAGCCTTTCTATATCATAGGAATCCTAATATAGCGCAGTAAGCAATATAAAAACGTTCCATGTTTTGCTAAAAGGTCTTTCTGTTTAATCAGTCCAATAGTATTGAATATATAAAATGTGAGGTAGGCTTCTAGTAAATCAATAGCTTTTAGCTCCAGAATGATCCTAATCACACAGAAAGCAAGAAAAAATGCCAGCAAAAAAGACATAAACCTTTATTCAGCATTTTGACACATTAATGAGGTTTTAGTTATAGCTACTATTTTTTCCCTAAGCTTTTGGATTAAGCAATAACAGTATCTGGGGAGGATCTGGTGAGAAAATTTGCCTTTTTAAAGACTTGTAATGCACTTTCTTCCTCAAAAAAATCAAATCACTCAGAACAGTATAGAAGTATTTTTATACATGTTTTTCATCTACTGATGCTGATAGACAGTATTAACTTCCAGTTATAATTAATGGCAATTAAATAAAAAAAAAAACTCTGGGAAAACAGTGACCACAATGGCAAAAGGCAGAAGTCCTCTGTTTAAGCAGAAGGGTTTTCCATTCATGGTATTTGCAACTAAGAAAACTAATTTTTGGCCTAATACCTAGCCAAGGGTAGAGAAGGGAATTTATTCACAGAGGGCTTAGTGTGTCTTCAGCAATTATTAGCAACTTTTAAACAGCTCTCTTCTTAAAGCAGGCTATATTTAAGGGAATTATGAAGCTGAACCCATAAATGCTTATGTATGTGGCAATATGTTAATTGGATGTTTAATATTGAAACTGAAATGTCTGGTTTTATATGACAATAGAGTTATTCATCAGATAAGATTTTATTATCCAGTAACTATTCAGAGTATCAGAGAACTGTTCACTGTTTTGTTTCTTTCATTTGACAGCCCTGTATGACTGGTTCAGAAGAGACACAATCCACTGATATAACTGTACAGGCATATAAACAGGGGGATAGAGAGATGGAGCCCATATAACTATAGAGAGAGCCTACGTGCCTGTGACTCACAGAAAACTGATGATTCTGCCTATATGCCTAACTTTGAAGAGCGAGATTGATATTTTAGCAGTGCAGACAGGTGCTTTCAGTTTTAGGACAAGCTGTGAAAAAGTCCACCAAAAATAAAACCAGAAAATTCTCAATTTTTAAATTTTCTAACCAAGTTTAACACCTATACACTTACTTGCAACTTTATATTTTCCTTTTTGTTCCATTTCTTTTCCAAAATCAGCATGCTCATCTTCATCTTTCTCAAAATGCATAATTGAGATTTTATAAGTAAACAAAAAGAAGGATCAGCACCAACAAAGTATTTATCCTTGTGAATGAAGGGCTGCTTTGACTACATTAGTTGGTTTCTAAATAATGTAATATTTCACAGTACATTGTAAGTACTTTGACAGTTTGTGCTAAATGTGTGTAATGTTAGGAGGAGACTATGGTATATGAAGCAACCATTTAATGCACCTTCATGTGTCCATAAACTGGATTTGAAGAAGACGTGAATCTATAACTGGTCTTAAACAACAGTTAGTATGAAAAGCAACTGCCTTGGGTTGTCTAGGCTGTAGGGTGGAGTATAGTAGCTATATACCATGGTAAGTGCGTAATTATTTGCAACTGGATAAAGAATAAATCATTTGCGAGCTGTATTGAGCATAATAAATGTTTAAAATACTCTAGATGGACTTGATTTTAAAAGGATACCTTTAGGAGCACTCATTTATTGTTTGATATATTAATTACTTTTTCTTAGGGTTTATTCATATTATAGGTGCACATAATTCAGATAGGGATGAAAAAATCAGAAAACTGGCTACTTTTCCTAAAAACACAAGCTTTGCGTTATATATGTAATGCAGATATCTTTCCTGAATTAAGTTGAATTTAATTAAAATTATAAAATAATGTATTTGTAAGTCATTGAGGGGTAGAGTGGGATGAAAGATGTTCTGATTTTGTTGCAATTTAGCTAATACATATTTGCTGCTTCCTGGGGATAATAGCTTCTGAAAGTATCAGACCATGTATGTCTTCTATGAGCTGTGCTGTAAAGACAGATTTTTGAATATTCAGCTAACACTTTGAATTTATAACTCATTATGAATTATTTTACTATTGAGTTGAACAGCATTTAGCAGGATGAGTGAACTGATTTTCTAATAGCAAGGATGTCACAGATTATGTTCTTTGGAAAGAATCTCACTGAAGTTAATGTGTTCGTTTGCTTACTGTTATTAGATAATTGGTTTGTTGCTTTTTAAATTTAAAAAAAAAAAAAAAGATGAAGAAAAAAAACAAGAAAAGAAAAACTATGACAAGTAGCACCAAGCCTGATAGAAATGCCTGGGATTTTCAACTTGAAAGTTATTGCCTAAAGGAAAGGATAAAATGTTTTTCGTAGTCTGAGCTCTGGTGCCTAGTAGTGAATGCAGTACACATGGGTGCTTTTTTCCTAACCAGTGGGGATTATAAGTATTGCAGAAGTGATACTCGGCTTTTGGTGGCAAAGGATGCCTCATTTCTACAGTGTTAGTTCTTAGCCTAGATTATTTCCAGTCATCAAGAGCGTGCTATGTCAACACAAAATAAAGTTGTGTGTAATCAAATTAGTATATCAAATGCAGAATTTGCAATTTGCAATCTTAGTTGTTTCTAATGGAAACTTTTTCACTCTTTTTTTCCCCATTAGGGCAGAGAATTGCTAGGCAGCTCTCTGGAATTGGTGGGTTAGAGTGTCTTGAAAGAACTTTATTTCAGGAGTGTATAGAAAATTCTCTCCTTTCCTCTAACTGATACTCCTTCTGCTTATCTGTTGTTGATTCTGCTGTTGCTAAACTGGCAAGTGTTCAGCTACAAAAATGTGCATGCCGTATTTATCTTTAAGATTTTGTGTTGTAATCTGAAAGCAGCTCAACAAAGTTGAGAGATCTAAATAAGGCACCATAAAGCTGGATAGTTGAATGGTTCAGTGGCTTATTACCAAACAAGTATCAAAGAGTAAAAATTGATCAGATGAAAAACCTCTTGAGATACTAAAATGTATTTTACTGTTAATTTCAATACTTTTATTATCAGTCATCTTGAAAAGTTGAAAAAAGTTTTACATTCTCAAGGACAGTATTTCCAACGAGAAAAAGGTCTTGGTTACGAAATTATTTTTCTGCTTAACTGTCATTTGCTCTAGAAGTATTCATTGCGTTGCTAGAACGCATACGTGTCTCTAGATGTCTTTTAGATTCCTTTCTCTCATCCCTATTTTTAAGAATTAAAGCACTTCTTTCTATTACAAAAACTGAATATTTGAGCATAACTTTTTCTGATCTTATATTCTTCAGTATGTCAGTTCCTTGTACAAATGCGAATGCAGACAGAGTACTCAATATGAATTTCATTGTACTCGCTACTTCACAAGCTTTCAAACAAATACAGTCTGCGTTCTTAAAGGGTACAGTTTGAGAAAGTCTGGTCACTTGAATTTTGGCAACAATTTGATAACACTGAGAACAGACTAAAAGTTTTTTGCATGTAGAGTTCATGGGGTGCATTGGCATGGTCCTGTTTGAACTGTGAACAGTCTCGTCCCCCATCTCACTCTCAAGGAAGCCTGATGGCAGTCTGATGCTGATGAACTCCAGAGATGACTGTGACAAGAATGGAAAAAGGAGGAAATGTGAAAAAGTAAGACAGCATGAAAAGACAGAATAAAACCCAGATGGCTAAGTTTTACCATGTAGGGTGGCATATGCAGACCAAGATGGGTCCCTGACAAGTGAGATCGAGCCTTGTGGGCTGCCCTGAATGGACCCTACAGTAGATAGTGTGATTCCACCACCAGATACCTGCAAAAGTTCCTTCCAGCCTGACTTACTCTGTGGCATGATTTTTAGGTTTTATGTAGTTATCCTGCAAAGAACAGATGCTCTTTCAGGAATGGGAAGGAAAGTTTCATATTAATTCCATCTCTTCCTCAGTTGAGTGATGTTTAAAAACAGAAGCTTGAAATTGAGCATAATGGATGGGAAGACAAAAATGGAAAAAGCTAATGTACAAAATTCTTAAAAATAAGAATTTTTTGACCTTCTGCTAAGGTTTGAATCTTTTTTTCATAGTCTGTACTGGTGAAGGCATGTTGAAGGTATTAGATCATGGTTAAACACAATGTGAAATTACATTTCAGTCTTTAAGTAGTGCGTTTTTTTTAATTAGCGTGGAGATCATTGCAGAAATACTTGAATCTGATTGCTCAGTAAATAACTCAAAACAATTCTGTTTGGCAACTAGGAGAACAGAATGTGGGTGGCACAGGGATAGTGTGCAATGACATCTGTTTCACTGACAGTACAATTTTAGATAAATAGCTTATGGTATATGCAAGACAGTTACAGTTTTTCTACATTTACAGGGAACTGCATCTGGAAAATGAGCTATTTTTACCAACAAGACATAATTTGACATTATTTTATTGCCAATTTTGTTGTCTTAAGAAACTTGAATAGCTTATGCGTGATATTTTAAGATCTATACCAATCTGAAGTGTTGCCACATTGTATTTAATGGCAGTATTTGCATTCTAAAGGAAAGGTTATTAATAGTATTTTTAGGTATTTCTCTTCTTGGTGGCTGTATTAACACTGCACGTACACAGTCACTGTTATAATGTATGATCTAATATGTGTTTGTTTAAGGAAAAACACAAGTTACCTGCATGCGTGTGGGCAAAAAGTAGAATCTGCAAACGGTCTGAGTTTGTAGTTGGTTTGAACTCCTGAATAGTTCTTTTTCAGGGCTTCTTAATGGTGAATCCACAGCCCCAGGAACTGTAACTATATCTGTAGAATAGCCTTTCTTCTCTCACTATCACCAAAAGATATTTTAAAGCGGTGTTTCATAGTTCATAGAGAGATCCAGTTCTTATTCTACAGAGATTTCACAGTTGGTCTATTTGT